AAGTTGTTAAATTCATCGGGACTTGCAGCACAGCGCATTCCTGGTGTGGGCGGCTTGACTGAGTTTATGACATCCCAGGCAGCTTTACATTGGTTGTTGGAATTTTCGATGAATTTGACATTACCTGCTCTTTTCGCCTCTTCAACTCTTTTATTATACAGCTTCTTAGCTAACAGATACCTAGCCTCGTCTCCCCTGGCACGTAGCATCAGCATAAACTCCTTGAGTCTACTAAGAGTTGGAGTGTACCAATCGGATATGCGAGGTCCTACGCTTTTCTTTGGTTTAGGCCTACCCGTCTTACTCAGGGTTGCTGCCCGCTTCTCCTTTACTGGGAACACTGTATCCAGGGCTTCCTGAAGGTGGCTAAAAAAGGAATCGAAACAACTCTCACCCTGTGGTCTACTAGCTATTATGTCATCCCAGGCAATTTCATTTAGAGCAGTCTTAAAGCGAAGAATCCGTAAGGGGTCATTCAAGCCAGTGCGTATGTCGCACTTATAATTTTTCATCCACGCATGAGGCGGGGTACTAGTCACAGATTGAGGAGTTACATCCATTAGGATGGCGTCATGATCAGAAATCATGGGTATGACTACCCTTGTCACATAATTACTCTGGTCCATATTAGTTAAAATATTGTCAATACACGACATCCCTCGAGTTGGCAGGGTGTTTGTTATAAAAAATCCACACTGGCTTATTAGATTCCTAAAGAAGTCTTCATCACAAGAAGAATCTATTACATTTACATTAAAATCTCCACACATAATGACATTTACATGTTAGGGTCCAATGGGTCTTGAATGGTTGATTCAAGTATGCGGTTGATAGCTGTGTGGCTTACTGTTTTCTCTGTTCCTTATTAGCTTAATTAAGTAAGATTTCAAACATTTCTGGAGGAGATAATAATATTTCAATATTGGCTAAAAAATGTTCAATATAGAAAAATATTAGAGATTTGCGGATAGTGAAATTTCAATTTGGATCGGATAGTTAAGGTCCGGATTGAATCAAATGGACATTTAGATGCTTGAGATGCTTGATACTAGGTCTTTTTCCAAGCCATAGTTCGTACGGGGTTTTGTCAGCTTCTGCAGAAGGGCCGGTGTGGTTGAGGATGTAAGCAGCACAGTTGATCAGTTCTGCCCATAAGCCTTGAGGAAGGGACTCATGGCAGTGCATCAGAGCACGAGCTGTTTCCACGATTGTTCGATTTTCCCTCTCACTGCAACCGTTCTGCTCCGGTGTGTAGGGCATCGTCAGGGTGTGCTTAATTCCTCTGTTCTGCAACATACTCTTAACTACGCCGTTATCAAACTCTCCGCCATTGTCAGTCACCATTTCTTTAACTACATGTCCAGTAATTTTTGCTACTTCCAGAAATAGTTTCAGTTTTTCAGAAACTTCAGATTTTTCCTTCATGAAGTGAACATGTCGATACCTGGAATAGTCATCTTTAAACAAAACATAGTACTTGTAGCCTGACATTGAAGACTGGAAAGGTCCACACACGTCCGTATGAATTCGTTCCCCAGGTGTTATGGCTCGTTCTCTTGTGCCAAATTTCAACCTGTGAGTCTTTCCATAGACGCAGCCTTCACATAACTCTTTATCCCCAGTTAGTTTTATTCCCAGCTCTCTCTCAATGGTCGCTTTCACATGTTTCGTGTTTTGATGCCCCATCCGCTCATGATACACCTGTAGAAGATTGTCATTATTGGTTAGTAAGTTTACTTCGATAGGCTCGCTTGGTTTTACAGTTTGAACCTTCAGCTTATGCAGACCTCCTTTTCTGCATCGTTAACCCACCAAGACAACTTCTCCATTCACCTCAAGTTGACATGTTTCCGTTGTTGACGTGAACTGACTTTGTAAATGCAAGTCCTGAGATGCAAGTACTGAAAATAAATTCCTTTTTATTCCCGGTACATACCACACGTTCTCTAGTGTGACTCTCTTAGGCTTCCCATTTACCTCCACTTCAAGTTCAATGGTTCCTTTTCCCAGCGCATTGATGGACTCTCCATTGGCTGCCATCACTGACTCCTGGTTGACGAATGGCTGAAACTTCTGAAACAAGTCTTCTCTATGCAAGACATGATTTGTGGCACCGTTGTTTACATACCAGCAGTCACTGTTGTTTTCAGTCATCATTACATCAACTGACAAAGTCATATTTGAACTAGGTTTACTATCCTCTGTTACTTTGGAAGTGGGTGGTTTAGGCGGCCTCCCATCTGCTTTCCACTTTGTACACTGCCTAACTTTGTGCCCTATCTTTTGACAATAATGACATGTGACTTTCTTATTAGTTCCCTTAGTTTCTAAACTAGCTTTGTTTTTGGTTCTAGTTTCAGATTTTACCCATAACGCTTCTTGACCCTGAAAGTTACGCCCTAATGCTTTTTCGTATGCACACAGTTGAGTGGTTAGGTTTTCAATAGTCCTTTCAGACTTTGCCATCATCATCCAACTAGACTTGAACGCAAAATAGTCCTCAGGAAGCATTCCCAAGATTTTACAGATCAAAAACAAATCTGGTAAAACAAATTTGTTGTCCCCTTCTTTAGATATTTCAAGTTTCAAACTATTCCATGAGTTCTTAAGCTTAGATAGGTTACCAGAAATATCAATGCTAGGATCCCGATTGAAACTTAAAAATTCTTGGCATATTTCGTAGGCTTTGTCCTCAGACATTCCATCAAACAACCTATGCAGCTCTAGCCACACGTCTCTTGCATTTGTAAAACGCATTACTTTTTCTAGGGTTACATCTGACAGATTGGTAGTAATAATTTTCATAGCTGTACTGTCAACCTTCCTGAACTTATCTAAATCTGCCTCATACTCAGCTACCTCTGCTGTTGACGGATCTTCTTTCTGTGTAGGCGCTTGTAGATTTCCCTCTATGACATCCATTACTCCAGACTGACTCCTCAGCAGACTACTAACCTTGAACTTCCAGGTAGCCCAATTATCTTTCCCATTTAGAAGTCCAATTTGCACTTTTGTAAACTCCATATTTTTATTTAACCTTTTCCAGTAAATAATATGTTACAAAAAGCAATAAATACTTCACTATCAACAGTTTGTTATATTAACGAAACCAAAGCTCTGCTACCATGTTGAAATTAAAGAAAATAACTGTTGATTCAGGAAAGAATAAATGTATTAAGATATCTTGCTACACTCACATCTATAAACTCATATTAGGGGCCTATATTGTTTATATGACAAAGCTACTGCGTTAATAATAATAGTACAGCTGTAAAAAAAAAAAAAAAAAAAAAAAAAAAAAAAAAAAAAATTAGAGGAAAATTATTGAAATAACAGATAATCACATATCTTAACATGCCAGGCCTACATGTGGTGTTTTGCAGGAATGCCGGCCATTTCTCCACATGAATGTAGGTGTTTAGGGAAATCGTCATACAATACTTATTTATTAACATTTTTTGACCTAAATTTGTTTTGTTTTGTAGATTATTAGATCGTGCATTGAAAAATACTAATTTTAGTTGGGGGTTTCATGAGTTAAAATAAAATATATTCATGGACAACACAGAAATAGTTTGAGTTAAAATAACATAATTTAAAATCATTCATTGACATTCAATTTTACATTCATTTTAAAGAGCACTAAAAACTAAAGAGAAATCATGTATAACAAATATATTTATTTTATATGCCTACAAAAAAAATTTCAAATTAACTACAAAGAGGTCTCGAAAAATTCTAGGCCCTTCCCAGCAAACAACCTAATTCATGCTCTAAGACTGTTGTTACAGACAAAACTATATCATTTTACATTTAACTGTATTTTATGTTATTATTATAATTCAAATTACTATTAAAATACTATTAGAAGCCATGCACAAAATAAACAAACAGTCAAAATTAAATCACACACCTATAGGCCTAAGTTACCAAGGCCAGTTAACGGTTCACTTTATGTGATTAGCCAAAAACTATCAGTAAAACTCACACGTAAACAGTAGAAACAACAACAAACAAACCAGCTGTGTAAATCCGTTTACTATTGCGTAATGGTTTTTGATTGGTTGACCACATTTATCAGCTCCTTTGTACAGTAAAAGAGCAAAATAGTTGTTGCCAACCTCCTTCTGTCGCATTTAGTGTGATTTGTTTTATTGAAATGTGATACTGTATAAAGTGATTTTCTGAGAGTCTCACTCTGGGACTCAAGCTTCGACAATGGTGCGTCTCGGAGCGAGACTCGTCGGCACTCAAAGGGTTATTCTATTGAAATGCATTGTCAATTCTAGCAATATTGTGCATTGTAGTTGCTGAACTGGTTTATTGTCTATTATGGGTTTACAGCTAGCTTACATTTTTTAGCTAGCTCACAGAAAAAATATCAGTGTTATGTATTGTGTTCCTATTAGCCCATGCACTCTAAATTTTCTCAGGTAAGCTATCTGAAAACTTTTGAACATATAGACAAATTTTCATTGTATTGAATTTTAGCCTCCTGATCGCATTTAAATACTAAATAATTGTTGTAAATACCTGCATTTATGCGATCAATGTGTTGCTAAATTGCAATCGGTTTTGACTCTCAAAGGAGTCATTGTCGGGCCTGTAGAGATGTCTTCTTGCTTCATTCAAAGGTCGTCAATTTATAATAAATACATTTAACACGCGCCCGTACACGAACATAAAAACGAACAATTAGTCTAGACATAACCCCCACCCGATCACGCCGTGTCCCGTTACCATTCTAGTATTACCCTTTGTTTTAACCCTAAATGTTCGTTTTAATGTTTGTGTACGTGTGCGTGTTAAATGTATTTATTCATTATGAATTGACGACCTTCGAATGAAGCAAGAAGACATCTCTACTGGCGCGACGATGAGTCTTGTGAGTCAAAACCGGTTGCAATTTAGCAACACATTGATCGCATAAATGCAGGTATTTACACCAATTATTTAGTACACATTTTCAAAATTTTGAATTACTTTTGAACTTTTTACAGAAACCAATGAAATCCCAAAAGATGGAAACAACAACGACCTGTGTGTATTGTGTGAATTTGTCATGAAAACTATTGAAAAGGACCTGCAGGATAACAAAACTGAAGTAAGTTTAGTTTTTAATTTTTTGAACAATTATGTTACTAAGGCTTAATTTATCTACAGTAAATATGTGATCACAGTACAAAAGAGTACAGTAGTTTTGCATTTTTTTAAGTTGTGTCCAGTTTTTTTGAAACATTATACTTATTTGAAAATAAAAATTTTTAAATCTAAGTCTTGTTAAGGAAATTGACAGGAAAGCAAGTTTACCTTTAAATAAGTCCATAGAGACACATACACATCATAGTGGCTGAAAAAGTGGTCTGTGACCATGACAATTTCTACTTCTGTGGTGTTTATGACTTATGTGTCTCTATAGACTTAATTAAAGGTAAGCCTGCTTTCTTGTCAATTTCCTTCAGTTACTGTCAAATGCCCTTTCATTTAATCAGTTAAATCTTAAGTCTTTTTGATTACAACTTTAAGCCTATCCTGAGGGTTTTTACTCTGAAATACAGGGCAACTAGGGCCTATATATTTTGTGATTTTCATTACAGCAGAAACAATTCAAATAATTTAAAGTATTAACAATCATACATAAATGAAACTTGGGTTTGGAGAGAAAGGGCTTATTGCCTGAGAATAGGTGTGAGAAAGGATAGGATAAGCATGCTTACCTTAAGAAATGTAGGCATCCCACTTCATTCACTACAGAACACAGAAGAAAAAGTAAAACAAAACAAACACTGGATATTTCGAGGCCACTGGCCCCTTTCTCAACATGGAGAGTCACATTAGATATTTGGAGTCTTTCACTGGTAAGGAAGCAGTCTTAGTACCAGTGAAAGACTCCAAATATCTAATGTGACTCTCCATGTTGAGAAAGGGGCCAGTGGCCTCGAAATATCCAGTGTTTGTTTTGTTTTGTGTTTTCTTCTGTGTTCTGTAGTGAATGAAGTGGGATGCCTACATTTCTTAAGGTAAGCCTGCTTATCCTATCCTTTCTCACACCTATAAATGAAACTTGGTGAGGGTTGGAGTGGTGCTGCTTGTTGACTGTGACATAGAGAGGCATCTTCAATGTTGTTACAGAAATCTTCGAGAAATTTGATTATTTCACTTCCTTTAGGAAATTCAGGAGAGTTTATGCATTTAGATTAAATTTTTGACAGAGATAGGAATTCAGGACTACAGTCTACAGGAAAACTACTAATACAGGACAGTATTTAAATTTTCACTCTGATAGCCTAAATAACGTAAAGATTCGGGTAGCCCAAGGCTTATTTTACAGAGCATTTAAAGTACCATCAGATGGAGGTACTTTAAATGCTCCATCACATTGCTCCATCACATTGCAGTCAGATGAAGCTGCAAGGGATAAAGAGATAGAAATAATAATCAAAGAAGAATTAAAATACCCCCGCCGCAGCAAACCTGCAGACTAAGCGAAGTTCCATTTGCCTGATTGGATTTACTCTAAAATGTCTCCTTAAAAATATCACTTTTTCCCTATTTAAATAGAATTAGTTTAACGATTACTTAGGTTTGCTGCAATAGGGAGGGTAAAAGGTTTTTTTTTGTAAAATATTAATAGTTAACAATATATGCATTTTTCAAATTTGATCAAAATATATTCATAAACAAGCAAACAACAACAGTTTACATATTCTCCATACTCAGTGCTACAACCAGTACTACAAACCTCAAACATATTACAGTGTACAGTGCTACAAAGTTTGATTTGAGAAGAGGTTGAGAACAAAATTGAATCAATAATAAATTAACTGTGACATCTACTATCCTGTATACACCTACAAGAAAAGCTTTCCCTTCCAACTTAGTTTTGAAATAATTCAAACAAGTTAATTTGTAAAAAAGATTATAAATCATAGTTTATTTACCTAATATGTTGTTATCAGAGGCTGACGATGGTTTTTGATAAAAACCTGAAATATACCCCTTTCTTTGTATTGTATTGTATTGTGTATCATTTTAAATCAAAACTCTTTATTGTCTTTCAGCTCTGCAAAAGCAATTTACATTGTCAAAAATCGGATCGGATACTGTACTGCTGTATATTCTCATTTACGTATAATAAACAATTTAAAATGTATAAAGATGGTAGGGTTAGGATATTTAAGGCCTTAAAATCTGCTCAGCAATCGTCCCTGGGCTTTGTTCCTTTAGTGCACCTAACTGCTTTCCTTTGCCATTTAAAAACCGTTTTGGCTCCTACAGAGTTACCCCATAAGAGAACGAGAACACCATATTGTAGGTGAGAATGGATAAATGCATAATAAAAATTTAGAATAATTTGTTCACTAACTCTGTTCACAACTTCTAATTGGGAGATTAGTGTCCATTGGAATTAGTATCAACCTTTCTTGAAGCTGAGATTAGAGCAATAGGGTCCCTTGCACTTTGTCCGCTAAGTAAACTGTTATTATTCAGCTGTAAACAAGCATAGTTTATAAAACTATAATTTAAAACATTTATATCAACTTGAACAGAATTTTCCATCTTAGAATCTCTTATTACGTTCTTTATTACATTCCAAGCAGCCCTAACTTTATTTTTTGAATTTGCAATGTACTCATCATTAACTTTTGCTCATAAAACTTTATTTCATGGCTATAACTTTTTCTCATCCTTAAATAATTTAATCTATTTTGTTCACTTAAGTGAGACTTGTCCTTATACATGAAAAGCATTATTCTTATCCTTTGGAGGTGATCAGCTTACCACTTAGAGATATGTTGAGATGCATGCTTGACACTGTCTTTATTGTTTATTTTAGTAACTATAGGACAGTTTGGTTCAAAAATTAATTTTAAATGGTTAATAAAATCAAATAAATAGTAAATTCTTACCTTAGCAATCCTTATTGAATGAACGAAGTGAATTCTCATACATGACAAAATGCATCTCTTTGGGACGCAATAGCCTTAGAAATACTATGTATATCCAACTTGAAGTGTTGCACAAAGATTTTATAGCATAATATCTTGAGAATATCAGTTGTTGAAGAATATTTATTCTGTAATAATTATAAAATCTTAAAAAAACCATTTTAATTTTCCCCCATAAGAATAACATTAAGAGCTACCTTCTTCTTCTATTTTTTTGTTTACATTTTACAAGCAACAATTTTGTCGTATATTTGAGACACAGAGAACGACCAAAGTCTCTTGTTTCTTCTGTCCATGGAGTATACAGGTCTGCTTAAGAAATCTTTGAATCTTTCATTCTACGGTTTCTAAAAAAATAACAATTGGTCTACTAAAAGAAATGGGGAATTTAAAAGATATCCACATATGACATAAGTTTATTGAAATCAATGAAAATATATAGTTAATTTTTTTTAAGTTTTTACAAGTTGAAGTCGTTACAGTGTCGTGTCACGTGTCAGTCAGTGTCGTCAGTAGCCATGGTATGGTTGTTTTGTAGGTTATGTTATTGTTATTGTAAGACCAGTGACCACAGACGTTGGTAACTGAGTTGGAGCTATTCATTATGTTAATTTTCAATATTAAAATTACAGCTTAACTAGATCTATTAGTAAGTTATTGCCTTTTCAAACATTTTTCTTTTTGTCGGATCTTGGTTGTCTGCTGTTATCCGGTAGGTAGGCCTAGGTAAGAGCTCTCTGAGTGATTGATGAAGGTTTAGGGGTTTGTTTTACTTTTAAGTCCATCTAGACCTACTCAGCCTCCCTAAGACTAATAAGCATAACTTAGTAAAATTCTCTTTGGGTAGGGTTTATTTCTTTAGTTAACTTACAGTTCCGCAGAGGACCTGCGAATGCAATTTATATCTTAATCGGTTGAAATGGATAAGTTAGTTTAAAACTCTCTTTAGGTACGGTAGGGTAAGTTAACTTAAGTTCCGCAAAGGACCTACGAATGCAATTTATATTTAATCGGTTGAAATGCATAAGTTAGTTTTAAGTTAAAACTCTCTTTGGGTAGGGTAAGTTAACTTTAAGTTCCGCTGAGGACCTGCGAATGCAATTTATATTGTAATCGGTTGAAATGGATAAGTTAGTTTAAAACTCTCTTTGGGTACGGTAGGGTAAGTTAACTTAAGTTCCGCAAAGGACCTACAAATGCAATTTATATTTAATCGGTTGAAATGCACAAGTTAGTTTAAAACTCTCTTTGGTTAGGGTGAGTTAACTTACAGTTCCGCAGAGGACCTGTAAATGTGATTTATAACTTAGGCCTATCTTATTCGGTTGTAATATTGATAACTTTTGTAGCGATTATTATTCGGTTTAAAAACTTATATCGCTAAGTACCTACTAAAAATTGTTGCTGCACTTAAGTAAGTTAAAATATCTGTCCTACACTCATTCAAATGAATATATCAATTATTTCTTATGTAGGGCCTACCGGTACTTCATTTTATATATCAAGTTTGGTTAGCCTAACCTAATTAACCGAATAAAATAATCAATATACTTAGGCCTATTGATAATTTGCATTCGAATGAGTGTAGGACAGATGCTAAAGTGCAGCCAAAAATGTTCCCAATTTAAACATTGAATCGAGTTATAAACTGTATTGCTGTGTAAGTTTGTATTGCTGTTAAATTAATGTAAACATCTATCTGAGTTAAGTGAATTAGAGTTTTTATTGATGTTTTGTAAATGAAACTAGGCCTAACTTCACTAAGTAAGTTATTGAATAAAAAACAAAATATATTTTATGAAAGTTAACTTAAAAATACAGAAACAATAACCAAAACTTATTGATATGATTAGTTATGAGACTAGACCTCATAAATCAACTTAGGGTTCCGAAATGTAGTAATTTCTTTCTTTTTTAGACATAAAAATTTACAAAAATGATCAAAAAGAAACAACTTTATTAGGCTATTTTAAGTTAAATGTTTTTGTTATCTTAAGCCTATTTTTGAAGCAAATTTCCCATTATACGGAATAAGCAAAATGCTGTAGTACTCATGGTAAGACCTGAGACATGCACCCGGACCGATTTGCTTTGTCATTCTGAGGTCCCTAGAGGCCAAAAACACCATTCGTTCGAATTCATTTTTATGTGTGTC